CGTAAAATGTGGTTTTAATTCGCGTTACGCGCGCTAATATGGAGGTTTAATTCGCGTTGCGTTGAATTAAGTGGAATTTTCACGGTACGAAGGAGTTAATTGTCGGCTTTCCGTTATGAATTTTCCGTCGAGTCGAAAGCGATCGTTCTTTTTCGCGTTTCTCTCGACAAAGCCGGGGAAAGAAAGAGAGAGACGCCGTCGCTTCAACAGCGAGTTACGGCCAGCTTTGACGCTAATGATCGTCTAAGTAGATTTGAACCTATCTCGCCGTTACGCGTCTCGCCGCGCCGCACATCGCGAACGTGTTTTTATTTTTATTTTTATTTTTGCCATGCCAACCGTGCGCAGTTTGCGCCACGCGCGTGTGCTCTGGCAAAAATGCTCGTGCAGCGCGTATCAAAAGACAAATGGCCGAGAATCGCGACAAATCCCGTCGCTAAACAATCATTTATCGCGGATAAACGTGCCGTGTACTTTTGCGGCTTGCCCGACTAGACATTTTGGTCGATTACAGAGTAATAACGGCATCGTTGCGAGCTTCGGAAGGCGCGGCGCGCGAAATGTTTGCTTTTTCGATGAAAAATCGATAGAAAAAAGTTATTCGATTTTGCACGAATGAAGTCTCTTTATTCCTTATCTCTAAAGGCTAAAGAGCTCCATTTCTATCCGCGAAAGAAACTCCGTAATCGAACAAAATGCTTCTTTCCTTCGTCGCTCGATTCGCATAACCAGACCTTTAATTCGACGATCAAATATTATTGCTATCGCGCGACGTGGTCGTCTGAGTATTTGCGTCAAACAAACACGGCGATAAAGAATCGGCGCTCTTACGTGTTTTCTTTGATAACAAATTCACGCGCGCTTTATCGCGCGATGAAAATGCGAAGGAGAGATTCGTTTGATCTTTGGCAGCGCGCTAGCTTCGAAAGAAACTAGTATCTACGCGCATAAAGAAGACGGAGATAATGCTCGATAAGAGAGTCTCTTCCGTTTACACGTACAAGTCGAGGGCGAAACGGGGAGAAGAGGAGACGCTGGCGAAAGCTACCGAGTTTCCATAGCCTCGTTAGAGACAAATGTGTATAAACATATTCGCGCAAAGTTTATAAATTATGAAAATCGCCAATCTTTCTACGCAAGATGTGTACGCGAGAACGTATAAAACGACACGTCGCTCTGCGTATCGCTCGATTCAACTGGCGATAACCATCGCTATCGATAAATCGTTATCTTCGTTATCGCACGCTTTCAGATTTCCGAATCCATTGTTATCCTCCCGATTGTTTCTTTCTGCCAGAAACGCATGTTTCTCGAGCACGCAACGCCGGCGCGCGCGCGCACATGACACACACACGCGCGCACACATACACCCCGACAGGAGGTATAGTTGCTACACGTCCCTCGTATCTCGTCTCGTCTCGTCTCGTCTCGTCTCGGCTCGGCTTGCCATGTTGTTTTCGTCGAGGGGGCAGACCTCGTGGATCTCGACTCTCGGGCTACGTCATAAGCGTCTATTTATACTCCGACGCAGCGTATAAACTTACATAGGGTGTTTCCTCGCGACTCGTATTCACCGCTTGCCTTTGTCGCTCGTTAATCGACCGACGTAGATGCGCTACAACCAGGAGACGTGCGTCGTACATGTTAATGAGGGAAACGAGGAGCTTGTTGAAATGTGTAAAATACACGTGGGTGAAACGGAAAGGCGAGAAGCTCGCGTGTATTATTACCTTTAGGTCTCTTTTCACTTTTTGTCGTCGACATAAAGACAAAAGGAATAAATGGAGGACGGAAAGAAAAATATAGTTTGCTAAATTGACAAATTTCAATATTAACGATAACAATGTTGTAAATAAATAAAAGGATCTTTCAAAGAAAGACGATTAATTTGGAGATAATATAGAGAGAGTCCAAGACACGAGTAAGATAAAAGAATCGTCCCACTCTGTATATACGCATTCTTTGTGAATGAAGTTGACACAGCATTCGAATATTTATCGTCTCGCAAAGGGTATATCTACTTACCTACCTACCTACCTACACATTGACGTCGATAGCGATCCAGACGGCATTTCCGCTCGCGGTGAGACAACTATGAGCGTCTGACGTGTCGGACGGAATTATATCGGGCGCGCGACGCTCACCCCGTATATGAGGAAAATCCGCGCTATTTGAAAAGGATAGGCGTCGGATCGAAATGGTCGAGGAAGTCGGCGAGACAAAAGACGCTATAAATAATAACAACAAACGCGCGCGCGACAAGTAGCCGTATATAGATTGTCGTTTCTCGATCGAGCAACAATTTCTGTGACGAGAAATGGAGGGAACAAGCACGATCGCGGATGAGTGCATTAATGCGAGAGCCATATTCGGTTCTGGCGACGTCGTGTAGCGACATCGGAGCCTCCGTCATCACTCCCAGGCCTGCAATCTGCGTGAATTACGCGCCACGCAGATTACAGAGAGCGCGCGGAGAGACGGCGGAGTTTACGGCCGCGCGTTATACACGGTGGACTCGAGCGAGAGGTCATCTTTGCTCGACGACGCAAAGCAACCGCGCGATAATTTGCAATAATTTATAAAGCTGCGATAATTTGATTCCGGTCTTACTCGAATCGTTTGCTTTTTTTTTTAATTAGATACCGCGTGTTCGCGCCTAAGTAAGGTAGAATCTTACTTCACGGTTCCCCTTAGCCGGAAACGGTGCGAAATCTCCTTCGCGTGAACGTCACGAATCTGACATTCACCACTCTCCGACATGGTTTGCGCTATAACGTAACCACGATTGAGCAGAGTTTCTGCCGCAATGTATCCGTTAATGGATTAAGCCGTTCGCCAAATTGCATTTATATCACCGTTTCTCCCGGAATGGCTTTGGTCTTTTGTTCCACTTTCGCCATTAACTGTAAGGAACGGTCACAAGTCATAATTAAACATAAAACTAACGGTGTATTTTGCGAACAGGAGGAGGGCGAGCGCATTACATGGCTCCAGCGTACGTATACTGTTAATTATGGGAGCCGGGAGAAAAATTATGGTCGCGAAAGGAGAGCTCCGCTAGAGATGCGTTTCTCGCGTCGTTTAAAATCGTTAAGGTCGTGACCGTTTCCTACATACATCCACGCATATATCAGAGATAAAATAATTCAAAAAAAGATGGAGAAAAGGAACAAGCGCGTTAATTAATCAGAGTCATTATATCGCGTTACAATATTAACGCCGTTACATTAATTGCGCGCCGTCGACGATTTGCGGGATAGTGCCGTCTTTGGGATGCGACGTAATAAAATGGCTAATCCGCCGATAAACGTATTTGAATCGGGGCTGACTATTTATAATTCCGTCGGGATGCTATATACCCGAGTTATAGCCGCGCCCGATATTGTGTCTGCCCCATCGATCGACGTATTACGTATACGTAATATGTATTACATGCAACGTTATAGTAGCGCTTGGAAATATAATTTTTTTCCGACACATAAAGTTTCATACTTTCGACCATTTTTATCGTCCGGCTAAATTGCCAATTTAGTTTATTTGCGAGATGTGTGTATTGCGATACTTTGTTAAAATATTGGGATAATCTCCAACGAATTTTTTTTTACAAAATGATTGATAAACGTGCCACACGAAGGCGCGACGTAACATTTACGCAACGTAAATTGAAAGCATCGCAAACGAGTTTGCGACGACAATAACGATGATAATAACGATAGGGACGGGATATTTAATTATTGCCCGTTAATTATGTAATTTCTAGTCAATCGAAACCGTTAATTATCTCTTTTGATTTTCTCCCTGCTTGCTCTTTTCTTCGTTTTCCTCGATTCTTTTGTAATTAAATTACATAAGTGTATTATACGCACTGCTTCTAATTAGAATTGCCAGGACACGAAGCGTTATGTGAACGCAGTCTGCGCGCAACCGCGCAGGACACACGAGAAGGCCCAAATAATTAAAAACGCTTAAAATTAATCAAGAAATTTGTAAATATGATAAGCAAAGAAATTGATATAAAAGTCAATTGTTGGAAAATTTAGTTTTATCGCGAAAATGACGATGGACACAGTTTTCAACGCTGTACGTTTCTACGCGTGCGTCTCCGGGGAAAAGAGCGAATCGTAAAATTATGCAGTGAAACCGATCGGTTTTTTAGATGATCGAGCGGCTACGGATTACAATTTCAAAATTGTCGTTAAAATGCATGAGTTCTCGCGATGACGACGACGATGATGACGATGGCGATGGCGACGATGGCGACGATGGCGTGAGAGCAGCGGAAAAAATATGTAAAGATTCTGATGCAATCACGAAAATAATAACGTTTACAAAAAATGTGAAAATGATTTCGTTTCGCACATACATTTACTACCGTTACATTTGATATCGATGCAAGAAATGCGCGTGTGTTTATGTCCGTAAAATTAAAAACTCTAGAGACGTATTTCTGTCTCACGTTTCGATTACGAAGCATCGATAATCATGCTATCCGAACGATTTAATCAAGTGACGCTTTGAAAAAAAATCAGATACGGCTTGTTTTTAATCGATGTTGTTCGAAATACAAACGCAGATTATCAAAGTTGCACCCAAGATGTACGAACGGGTCAAAATTTAAATAGTAGCCGTCCTTCGTTCGTTCTTTAGCGCCTGGTGGCCATAAGCGGCGCGAATTCCTGTCGAGCGATTTCTTCTCTATATCCACTGCGTAGTTGCGTATACATCGGATGGCGATTATCGAGTTTTTTTCCTCGACTGAAAATATAACACTCGTCGACATAATCATTGGCGAGATCGAGCACACGACTGTCAATCATCAAACTATTAATATAATTCATTCATGAATATCCAATTCCGATAACATCGACGCTTTTAGATTTACGTCGTAATTTCATCCAAGATATTATTGTACCTCTTGCGCATGTACGCGAAACACCTTTATTAAGTAAGTAAAACTAATTTGCAAATTGGTCAACTAAAAGCAAAAATGTTATTTGCAGGATAGCCTAGTGGAGCACTATTCGTCCTTGATTATGACGCAGCGTTGCCACGGGTGAGTTTTTGTACTAATTTTGTTGTGTAATTCGTTTCTTTTACTTTTGTATCTTCAAGATGATTGCGGAAGTAAATTTTCAGAAATTTTGTTTATTCCAAATTCTGCATAAAATATACATATAAATTATCAAACTCCTCCTCTCTCTTTTTGCATACGATTTCGTATACGAAAATACTTTGGAAAAATACGCAATCATCTTTTAACACTGGTTAAGTAATCGAGAGAGATCCCTTGTTATTATTTAAAGATTAAGCCTTTACATTAAAATGTGATTTAAGTAACAGTGTGCGCGCTCGCGAGAGGAAGATGTGCATTTTTACATGAAATGTATTACACACAAGGAACACAAATAATGACACGGGGAAGGATTTCATTGGAGTTACATAACAATTGCTACAAAGGTGTCGTTACGTAATCGTGTCGCCAAATTGAACGGAAAATGAGAGCTGTAAATAACAGCTTGAGAAACTCTCTCTCGATACCCGTTACGTTACAAATCATTTTGCCGATACATAGCTTTGTACGACAATACGCCCGTTGTATAAATAATACCGCGGAATTATTATCGCCACGTGTATGCGTTTGCCACGTGCGACGATTACACGAGGCGCGCGAAATCACGTTGCTGCGTCGCCTATAGAATCGATATCGTCGTTTGTTGGAAAAAGCGAGATTCCGGAAGAAGAAGTCTTTTTCTCTCGCTGGCCTCGCCTTTTCCCCGCAAATAGACGACGCAATTTTTTTTGTCCAGCATTAAAGCAGTCGCGCGCTCTCGCAAGACAAATAAAATCTTACAAGTTAAGTGATTGCGTCGAGGACGAGCGACATTATAACGCGTCGAGATAACGTTGAGATTAATGCGCGAGATCCGTTCTCGAGAATACGTCCAATCTGTTTTTCGGCCGCACAAACATGTATAAATTTTCGATGCGAGATCGCAAACACGCAACGCGTGTTTTGTTTTCGGCTATCGATATCGCATATCTTTGAAATTGTCCACATTGACTGTAAAATGTCAGCACACTCGAGAAAGCGTCGACGCGAGTATCGATGCAGGAGACTCCCTATTTATACTTTGAGCTTACGCATCGAAGTTTCCCTCTGACGAAATTACGTGAAAGAATGTTGCGTGCGGCAGGGGCCCTAAAAAAAAAAAATAAAGACTGCCCGCGGCGAGACGAAATTGTCGGGAAGCCGACGAAAATTCTGCATTATTCAGGGTTCAATTTTTTCTCTTTCTCTCGTTCCTCTACAATCGACGATCAACAATTTAAACGTATCCGAAAATTGTCAAATTTCGAATCACTATGGACGAAAATAAAAATTCGCGAAAATATGGATTTTTTTCTTTCGAGCAAACCAACGGTCCCGATTATATCCCAGTTGTCCGTCGACAAACGGTCGATGAATAATTTCGCGCTCGACCCGCTTATCGTTCCACATGTCCAGTCGCGACCGATCGACCGCAGAGTTTTTCTTTGGCGAAACGACTTCGGCCTCCTTCCGCCATTCCTCGACGCGATTGAAACACTGCGAGCGGCGAGGGAATAGGGGCCGTGGGAAAAGCGGTAAAACGCGTCGGTAGCGAGCGCTCGACTCGCGGAACCTTTTGCTCCAAGTTCGACGACCGCCGCGATGCACTCACAATCAGCGCAATCGCGCAACAAACTCTAACCGCGCGCGCTGTTTTTCCGTCTTCCCCGTTTCCTTTCCCTCGTTATCCGGGGTAAAGATTGCCAAGATTGTTTTCGCGCGATTTAAAAGCCCGCGAGAAACGTAAAACAATTGTAAACAATTGCGTCGAAAAATGATTGCGAATGAATTGAAAAAGTTGGAGCGATAGTGGCCATCGTATATTGCAAACTGTGTGCAAAATTTTTCACGCCAACGACACTTTATCGATAAATGGAGACTGTTGTGGCGTATCGGGTCGCAAACGTTCCCGTTGGCTCCGTGCGCGTCGGCGACTTTGTTTACAAGTAAGCTGCGAACGCAACAAATTGACGGGGCATCAGTCGTTTCTCGCGCGCGCCAATAGGCAGACGTCGTGGTTGTGTTTGAGCATTTTGTTTAAAAATAAATTGCCGACGGGATTGATTCTGCGATAGGCTGGCTGGCAGGCAGGCCACCATAAAATAGACACGTGACGCAAATGAGGCGTTTGCGGGAAGGGTTCGCAATAGGTCACGGGCTTACGTGGGGTGTAAATTATTAATAATAAAAATTGATTGCCCCGAACGAGAGCTCGTTCCAGCCAATCTCGGCGAATGACATAATCGAATCCTCGAAATGCTAATCGAACGTCATTGCGCGATCCACTCGTGGCGCGGGATTTCATATCGCGGCCGGAAATATAACCAATAATGCAATGCGAAATTGTATCTCCTCAATTATTTAACAATGTGTCAAATTAGATATCTCTGAAAATCATATCGAACGCAGGGCAAGATTCAATTTGAATGAATTGTAAAATGTTTAAGTCTACAAGAGATGTGGATAATTTTTTTTTTTAATTTTTAACTCATCTTTGAGCTATGCACATAATATTATTTAAACTGACATTTAACATTTTTTAACAGACTCCTCGTTATATAAATTATTATCCAAAAAAGGTTTCGTAGAAAATTTTTCATGTTTGTCGGTTCATAAGAAAAGCATGAATTAATCATCTTTTTATCTTGAAGAAAGTGTTATCGCTCGCATCTAGGTCACGGAAATTTTTAAGATGATTATACTCTAGCAGCGAAAATTGATATGTTTATTCTCTATTATTATACAGCTCCGCGTATAATGAAATACTTGCGTAGGATGGCGATACTTTACATTGATATCGCGAGTATAACCGGAATCGCGACTTTACGGTATGTTTATATCGCGAACCGTATCCGAGAATTGTTACGCACGTGTTGCTTACTCGAAATATAAATCCATTTTTAATAAAGGAAGATAATTTTATTCAATTGTTTCTATTCCTTCGCGTTAAATGTAGCTTCAATTGTCATTCATCGATCAAGCGCTCGCGTCTGACGTTAACGACGAAGAGAAAGAAGGATCTCTTTCGCGATTGACGCACGCTGATCTCTCGGGTGCGTTGAAAACGAATATTAAATCCTCGTATCGTCGCCTCCGCAAAGTTCGCCTCGAACGAATACGAGCCAAGGCTAAAGCAATATAACGGCAACGCACGCCGGCGCGTCCCGATGACAGCGATGATTTGTCTCCTTCTGGCCTCGAGAGCTTTCGTACGAGTTTTCGATGATCTTTTTGACCCTACCCGCTTATTACTTTAAATAGTCACGGCGTATCGTCGTTTTCGCGGATTACGTTATTATGTACCGCTCGGATAAAGGATAATTTGCGTGCAGCTCGTGCGTAGACTTGTAATTTATCGCTCGCACAGTCGCAGACAACTAGACGACACGACTATTGTACTGTTAGAAGGAAGATGGGCGAGAGATACATTTTTTTTTCTATTCTCTAAGAATTCTTCGAAATAAGAAATTATTTTCTCCCGAGAATACAAGTTAAAAATACGATTTTATAAAGAAGGATAATATTGGAAAGTAGGTTTCTGCGACTTGTTGAATATCTCGGCTCTCTGTACTCGTTCTCATGCACATTGCATTATCGCCACGCTTTTAAGAAACGACTGAGAAACGGATTATCATCACCGTTATATCCATCCTGATAACGGAGCATCGTTCTCTCGCGGCGCGACGATAGCTTTTTATCCGCTTTCTCGGTTCAAGAAACTAGCGCGTCCTCCCATGCCCCCTGACCTCTTTTAATTGGCCACGCTCTTGGAAATTTTGCAGGCAAAAATTAATTTTTTTCCCGCTCGAGAGATGTTTGACGCAAGGCGAGCATTTTTCGTTGCAGTTTCTCAAAGGTATCCTCTCGGTGCACGCGTACCGAGAGAGAGAGAGGCAGTTAAATATTACAAGCGTATCGGGATAATTTGCGGAGAAAAATCTAGCATCTCGGTATTTATTGAAATTTCTAATATGCAAATATAGTTAGAAAAGAAGAGATATTTTGCGATAATTTTGGAAACGAATCAGCCAAGAGTATCGCTTTCGAAATTGTCGACAAGTGTCGCTCTCCAGGTCAGTAGAAGGATCGTCGTCCTCGGACACTGTCAAACGAAATACAACCAACGAGCGATTTTCCAAGAGCACACGCTCGTGATAATCCATTCGCCGCTATTTCGATTCGAATGTACACGAGCGAGGAGAGAAAGTCTCGTATCGAAACATGCGATTCCGCGGGACACTCGATTAGCCCTCGCGACATAACCGCCTTTGTCCGATTCTATCGATGCCTTATATACTATGTTCGATAGCTGTGAATAGAAACGAGCGATTAATTTTGCATCGTGTACGCGGTATCGGGATATCGAAACGCGTGGAAAAGGTCGCTCAAAATATTGTAAATGTATTCGCCGAGGCCTATTTTTTTTCGGACAACATACGCATTATGATTCCATTGGCCCAATTCTTTTGCTCGATTATTATATTCATCGTGTATTCTATAAAAAAATATCGTTTAAAAATTTGGAGCATTTATTTGTAGTTGCGAATAAAAATAACGCGCTTTCGTAATAAAATGATATCGAGTTGCCAGGTTTTTTAGATTTTGAAGAATAAAGATTATATCGCTTAAACGCGCACGCTGTGAACCGATCTCGACATTTACATGTCACGAATCAATCATTGTCAATATCGTTGTTATTGAATGTTTATAAAAGAAGGCGAACCTCTTGCCTGATAAATTTTATCTCGGCCTAAATTTTCCTCCAATACAATATGACGCGCTGTAGCGTTTCTTAATTTCGCAATAAAACATTCACTGTTTGAGAGACCGAATTTGCGTCGAGCGTCGCGGCCATGATCGAGAATGATTTATGACTCGAGCGAACAAGTATCGTTTTTCCAGGCGCTGTTTTGTGGATCGAAGGCCACCATTCGCAAAAAAAAAATAAAATAAAATAAAATAAAAAAAGAGACAAAAGAAGCGCGTTGGTTATTTCAGAAACCGGGAGGGAGTCCGATTTACGATCCAATAACCGTTCGATTTATTATTGCAAAATTTGCGATAACGGCGTCCAGACTTTATGCCGTGACTGAGCACCGTTTGCAATCAGAGTAGGGGAGGGAGAGCGAAAAAAAAAGTAGAACGACGAGTTTCCTTCGGGCAATGATAGTGGAGGAGGGAGGCAGGGATAAAAAGAAGGAGAGAGAAAGAGAGAAAAAGAGAAAGAGAAAGGGAGAAGGAAGGGGGACACTCCACCAAACAGTTAGCCGACCGTGATGCTGCTCGGGCTCCTTCGATCGGTGCGGCGGCGGCGGGGGCTGCGGAGGCTGCGGGGGCTAGGGGGACTAGGGGGGACTCCATTTTCGATCGCTCGAGACCGGTCGAGAGATCGAGATCTCGTTTTCTCTCGGCCACGACGCTCTTTGGCCCCTGACTCTCGGCCTCGGGGGTGTATTTTTCTAGTTTGCGAATGATGTCGCGCAAAATGTAGGGATTTTACGAGTGCAATAATGAATTAGAGAAAAAAATTGTCTACAAATGTTTGAACGAATTTAAAGCAATGCACGAATGCGAGGATAAAGATTATTTACGAGGCGATATTTCATAGCATTTTCGTCTAATCTACGTCAATTCGCTTGTTCGATTGAAATTGAGCAATCGTGTGCTGCGTCACGCGAGCGTAAAAAGGTACGGGAGAAGAGAGGCTTTCTTCTATCGACACCCATCGACTTCTCGATCGGCGCGGGCAGAGGTTGAGCACCTCGCGATCCGCCGTTGGAAGAAAAGTAGGATGGTTCTACAAAACAGTTAGATGGCCCTGATGCTAGCAAATTACCAAGTTGCCGTTTCTACACTCGTATTCGTCGCGATACTTTTTTTCTTTTCAGGTGTTTTCAAACGTTTCGCGGAAGAATGGAAACGAGAGAGGGAAATTTTTTTTAAAAAATCGCCAACAATCTTTATTAAATGTCGTACGTTTAAATCGTCATTATTCTCGAAATAACGTGTCTCTGTCCGAATGTTTCACGTTATTAATAATTTAATCGAATCATCAGAGACATGAATTTTTACATTTTTCCACGCGCAGCTTTGGTAAAAATTGATAAAACGTTGTTGAAAATACGCTTGCCCATCTTGTAGCTTTTCCATACTTGGAACGCTACTCGAGCGCGGCCGAGAAATCGAGATCCTCGTTTCCTCCAGGCTCGTCGATCTTTGGCCTCCGTTCGCGCTCCGCCTTCGCTTCGTGCCGCTCGGAGGAGCGGTCCTGATGCACGGCCTCAGATAGAGTTTCTAGGATACGGCGTGAAACTCGTAGAGACAGCGCCGTCTTGTAACACGCGCAAGCGAGGCAACATTTTAGCAATCGTCATGCGCGCGAATGCGAAGTCATTATTGTCGATTAAAAGAAAGGTCCGTTACTTTCTCTCTCCCCACGAAAAATCAAGACATTTTGCGATGAAAAGTTACCCCGAGATGACTTTTTTTTGAATCATTGACATTTCCTACACATGTGTGTGGCCACGTGTTTCGACTCGTCTCGTGGCCGACATATTCCCAGGATCCCTAAAGCTGGCATCTACCAATTTCTCGTTCCTCTCGGAGGGAGCGATTCCGGGAATCGAGTTTCAAATTAGACGCTCTCGCCGCTCGATTATATCGCGCACGATATTCTCTCTCGAGTGGATGCCGCGACGGATGGACGGCGTATGTCGGCTTTACGAGAACAACCCTCGTTGAAAAAGCGCCTGGTAGGAATCTAGACACAAAGAAAGACGAATCGCTCGTCTCGGGATCGAGCCTCGAGGTCGCAGCGAGAAAATTTGCTTTCGTCTTGTTTGAATCGAACGAACCTGTTTGATCGCTAGGTGCGTTTGAAACGTGTCTCGCGTCATTTTTCAGCCCTCCGAATGGGCAATATTGAATTAATACGCAAAGGGTTCGAAATAACAGCGAGCGCGTGAGATCGCGATTCGACTCGCTCGCAAAGATGCACGGATATTCCTTCCTCTACGACTCCCCAAAATTGCAATTTACTCTCTATACGCGTTCTCTCGGGTGAAATTGCGTTTTTTTCGCTCTCCCTAATAGCGAGTCGCGCGCGATTAACGCGTCGCATCCGATTTCTCGAGAGTTTCTCACGTTCTCGCGGGAGATTTTGCCGAGCGGTACCTGAAGCCGAGGGGCGAGAATCGAGTCGAGTCGAGTCGAGTCGCGTCGCACGACGCGGGACGAGAAAATGGTAGTTTGCGAATGCGCGGGGAATGGCAGTTTCGCGGGGATGACGGATTTTCAAGCGGACAGAATGCGTTCCGCATTCGCGAGGCCAGGCCCCGAACCGGCCCTATTGATTTTGGAGAACCTTCCCGGCGAGAGACCGTCGGCTTACACCGCCACCGTCGGTAATTCCGAGCCCCTCCCCTTCGTCAAGTTTTCGAGAAGGGTCACCCCGTAATTTGAATATACGGCACCCTTCCGTGCCCGGCCCCTCTCGACCCCTCCCGGCCAATTGCTGCACGTTCGGCATATTTGGCGTGCGGGGCGCGGAGCGTTCGTTTTCGCTCTCTTCGCGCTCGGAATACGCGAATAAAGCGCATTTCGTATCGTACACGTCGGGTGGGTTTTGGCCGCGATGACTGGCAAATTTCAAAAAGCGACGCGTTGTCGCATTTAGGATATTCGTCTCGCTGTTGGAAAATGGCAAGCCGTAGGGTAAATTGAGACGATAAACATACAGGACCCCGCGGCGCGCAAATTCAGCGTCTTTTCGACTTTGGCAAGCGAGGTTGGCAACGGAAGCGGTCGATCGAGATATCGAAACGTACGATCCCGTAAACGTCGTTGCAAGATGAAGCGGTCGCGCGGCAGGTTGCTAGCCCCCTTTGTCATCGGGCAAAGTTATATTTTTATTCGTGAAAAATTCCTTTGATAAAAAACCCGCGGCTGAAAGCAGCGAGTTGGCGCGAATGGCGCGACTGCGCGATTTTTATCGCGAAAAACTCGCGTCCCGCGCCGGCGTACATTTTCCCGGAGGGCGCGGGGAAAATTCACGCGCGCACCCCACGCGGGGAAAAAGGAGGAGGGGAAACGAAGCCGGCCACACGGTAATCCGTGCTTATCGATCGGCACTCGGTTGCCAACTTGGCAGTGGCAAACTCCCGGAATTACGAATGAAATGCTCCACATAGCGACGCGGTTGGCGAATCGAATCAGCTTTCATACCTTCGCGAGGGAGGATACGTCGAATTCCGCCTCGCCTTCCGGTGGACGTTTCGTGGCTCGACGACAAAAACGCCGTTACCCTCTTTATTTCACGCAAAGATGCCTTTTTACAGCGCGTTTTTCCGCGTTTTTATCTTTACATTTTACGGGGCATTGAAAAAGAGAATTAATAATTTTCTCGTCTCTCTCTCTCTCTTTCTTCTCTCTTGTCTCTTTTGTCGATTGAAAAGGGTACAAAACTCGCGCGTCAAAGGGAAAAGGGTTCGGCGGGAACAGGGTCGGATTTTTTTTTCTCTCCGCTTGTTGTTGTTCGAGTTTCGGGCTAAATCTCGGGTCGGACGGAGCGGTTTTCAGCGCTGCTACCCAGTCGCTAGGCTCGCATATAGTTGTATGGCATTGTAACCTACGCGCTTTCTCTAGCAGTCGGCGTTGGCTCTCCGCTCGAGCTCATGTTCCCTCATTCGTGTTCATACTTAAAAACCTGTGGAGTCAGTGGTGCTCACCGCTTGTATCGACCCGGACCCCAATTAGATGCGCGCGATAGGATTCTACGTTTGCAAAATAAAAGCAAACGAAAGGCTACCTTTTATCGCTTCGTGCTAGGAATTTGACTAGGATTTCGAGACTGCGCGATATTGCACAATTGCCGAATAACCACAATCGTGTATTCCTCGTCGATCGTCTCGGCGAGTCGAGACTCGCCGACCTAAACTATCGAAGAGGAAACGTTTCTTTGCCTCGGTTATAGAGATGCGACAAATCCACAAATTTGTTACACGATCGCAAATTGATCTCGAGATTCGCGCGTTCGACTCGACCCTGTTTTGATTCGAAGCGTTTTTATAGCGTCACGATATACAAAATGTTTCAAACTATCGTTGGAAGGACACGCGACGCTTTTGCAACATTTCGCGTACTCGAGGTACAGGCGTCCCTTTTTAATGAAAAGAGAAACGACGAGTCGGCCATAAACGGATCCGTTTTGCACGTGCACGATATAGTCGAATTATATGTAGAAATGCGAGCGAGAGCGAACGTTCGGTTCTCATGACGGAGCGTCGGGATTCGCGGGGCGAATAAATAAAAGGATGGAAGTGTTTACGTTGGATTTGAGAGGCACTGACGCGCGCAGACGAGACGGCCCGTATTCGGGGAGCGGGGCGCGGGACGCGGGACGCAGCTGCGGTGGCGGCGACGCGCAACGACCGCGCGCAGCGTCGAGTCACGTGACGCGCCGTCGACGCTCGATTGGTCGGCGCCGCGCGACGACGCTCCCCACCGCGCCGCCGTCGCCCGAACAAAGGGACGAGGCTACCTCCGCCGTCGTCGGGAGCGCTGCCATTAGAAAGTCGTCGGCAGTCGATGCGTGCGGGAGTTCCGCGAGTCGGATAGAGAAAGAGAGAAGGAGCCGTCGGTCGAAGGCGTCGTGAGAAAGTTTGAAAGATATCGGAAAGCGGGAGGAGAGTGGAAGGTTCGCCGAGAAGAGAAGAGACATCGAGCGCGTCGCGATCGAGCCAGGTCCTCGATCGGTCCAAAGTGTCAGAATCGATCCGGCGAAACGGAGCGGAACGAGCGGGAGCGGGAGCGGAAGTGGAAGCGGGAGAGAAGAAGCCTAGAGCGATTCGAGGAGGCGAATTTGCGAGCGCGAGCGCTCGCGCGAGGAAGCGCGCGAGGAGCGCCAGCAAGCGAGACGAGAGAGACGCGCCGCCGCTCCGCCGCCGAAAATCGATCCTCGCGTGCCGCCGCGCCGGATCGTCGTCGTCGTCGTCGTCGCCGTCGCCGCGCCGTCGACGGGAATCCTCGTGGGACGCTCCGGCGGTTAGCTCATCCGCGCTGGAGGGTCGACGACAGGCACGTACGACAAGCGCCGTAGAGTGCTACGCAGCAACGTGGCGGCGACGCCATTTTGTCGTAACTGGTACCGTGCGATTCCTTCGGCATCAGCGCCGTCGAGCCTCCTACTCCGCGCCACCGCCGCGCCGTGACCCGTGACACGCGCGTCGCATCTCGCCTCGTCGTCGCGCTCGCAAAAGTGTCGGCGAATAAATCGACGCGGACAAGGAAGTCGGAGCGCGTCCCTGGATCCCGAGCAACGGAGCACGGAGCTCCTTTCGTCCCCTCTCGTTCTCACCCTGGGTACGCGACCATGAGACTGGAAATTGTGTCGGCGGCGGATTTTCTGGTGCACCTGCTGCGCCTGCAGGCGGGTCAGCTGTCGGAACGGCAACTGGAGATGTTCAAGTCATCGCTGACGGAGGTGTTGCGCCACCGTTACCGGGATCACTGGTTCCCGGATCGGCCGAATCGCGGCTCCGGCTACCGTTGCATCCGCATCAACGGTAAAATGGACCCGGTGATCGCGCAGGCCGGCGCCAACGTCGGCCTGCTGCCCACCGTCCTGCACAGCCTCTTCCCCAGCGAGCTCACCATGTGGATCGACCCGTCGGAGGTGTCGTATCGAATCGGCGAGAATGGTTCCATCTGCGTTCTGTACGAGCGAACCGAGCCCGAGAATCCGGAAGAGATGTCGTCCCAGCTGCATCATCCGCAGCAGCCGCACCATCCGCATCAGCCGCAGCACCACCATCAATCGCAGCAGCATCAGCAGGCGCCGATCCTGCCGCCGCCGCTGCAGCAGCAGCAGCTACAGCAACAGCCGTCGCCGCAGCAACAGCAGCAGCAGTTCGAGAGCTGCAAGGATTCCCTGTTGCTGGAGCACCCGCAGTTTAGCGAGCAGATCGCCGCGTACGTCTCCAGCTGAATCGCCGGGCTCGCCGCCGGCGCCGCTCGCGTCCACGCTCTCGAAATAATGTAATTAAGCGCACGTACATTTCGTGATATGTGATATCCCGTGTGTGTCGCGTCGGACCGAGCAGGTCCGCGCGCGCTCGATCTTGGACCTCCTGCGTGCGTGCGTCCTCCTTGCGATCTTTTTTCTCATTTTTCCTCTTTTTCCTTTCCCTTTTTTTCTTCCGTGCACCGAGAGCCTCGAGGCGAGGCGAGGAGTCGCCTCTCGACTTCTCGAGCTCCGCGATTCGACGACATCCTCGAGCGACGGTCCGTCCGCGCCGCGCCCTCCTTCGCGCCAGTTCCTGCTAACGGGGAGAGTCCATCCTTCGGGAACGCGAGCTCGTCCACGCGCGTCGAACGACTCTAGTCCAGTCTCGCGCACCCCCGATCCTCCCATCGTCGTCGCGAGCCAAGAGCCACGCGAGGACTGGATCGAGTTGGATTCCTTTTGGATCGTCGCTCCATCGATCGGCGACCCATCTTTTTCTTCCGTTGCAAAAGAACGTCGCGGCGAGGAAGAAAAAAAACGGAGCGAGCTCGAAGCTCTCTCGGCACAGCCGTCTAATTGATCTCAGCGTCTCCTCCACCAGCGTAACCTCCGAGTGTCTCTCGTGACAACAGCAACCGCGCGAGGGAGGAACAACGAAGACCAGCCAGCCTCATCGCCCCTCCGTTCTCGAGGGAGTAAAGGAACCGTACTCGTACACACATTTATACACACACACACATCCGCACACGCCGATACAGACACCATCTCTCTGTCTCTCGCATCCTTTTCGAATGCGTCTTTCTTCCACGTACTTTGTCACGTCGCATTTCGGAGTTGTTAAGGTTCGTACGTACCGAGCGACGAGTATTTTACGACGCGGACGCACGCGAGAGGGAAGCGATCGATTGCCTTGTACATATTTGATCGAATCGTAAATCATATGAGTATCAATCGTCATTTTCGACGAGAAGCAACGGTATCCATTTTGTCACATCCCGAATGATGCAATTTATTAATATTTGAGTAATTTCGAGCGTACGGAAGAGAACGAGAGTGTTTGTCGTTTGCGTCAAAAGCTACTTGCAATTTAATTCTCGCAACAGTTGTAGCCGTTGCCCATTTCCATGTTGCATCGGTCTTTGTGTACAGTCTTAAAATTAAGAACCGCAAAGAAACGGAGCGAGAGTCGATCGTTTTCCACAATTCTCGTTGTCGACAATTTCTTGGAATCACCCGCATTTCGATGCGGATTATCACCGTGCCACGCATACACATGGACACATTTGCGCAAAACAAAAAGAAATAGACACGCATCGGCGATCGTTACTTATTGTAACGGCCGTCGAATTTATTCTTTGTTAACTTTTCGGAGAAATATCTGTGAAAATAAAAGCGTTAAATTTATAACGCGCGACATTTCCTCGCGCGAATCATTTATCGAGTAATTTTGCTTTTTTGCATGTCGAGTATAAACCTCTGGAAAAATGCGGCGTTGCGATAACGAAGGATTCAAATCCGGTTTACATTTGTAAATTTTATTTTTTTAGAGATTGGCTATCGATAGCGAAAACTTGCGTATTTCGATTATTGGACAGCGTCAAGTTTCAATGACAAAAATTTCGAGTCAAATTTTTAAATGTACATACACACATAACACGTACAAATGTCACGATAGCGCGCGAATTTATATGTACATATATATATATATATATAAATATATGTATATATATATAAAAGCGTTATATAGAGCACCATGTACATGTACGAGGACGAGCGAAATCGTCCTCGGGCGTGTACACAATTGACGAATTGTATATTATCTTTCACGTGAAGAGAGAGAGAGAGAGAGAGAATGAGAGGGAGAGAATGAGAGAGATGTGAAAGAAAGCGAGAGAAAACACGATGTATAAAATTACTGTGATTTTATCCACGGGAAGGCACACGGGCGTATATTTTACTATGGAGAGTCGGTCTCGGTAAGTGAAATGCTTGATGTATGGCGTACGATTGTGAATGTTTCAATAAAGGTCGGGAATGATTCAGAGAGAGAGAGAGAGAGAGAGAGAGAGAAAGAGAGAGAGAGAATAATTGAACCTGCGTGTGGGCGCTCATCCAATACGTCGCTCGCGCGCTTCGACAATAATAATAATAATAATAATAATAATAATAATAATAATCGAGTTCGCTCGATTAGTCATGTGTCTGCTTCGTGCTCGCGGCATCGAGATTTGTTCAATTACTTGACGAATCGATACAACGACGAGAATGAGATCCGTCGATCGTTGTTGCCGCAGATGCAACGCAAATTTCTGTATAGATAATTCTACACGTAATAAAATATATAAAATTGAAACTGATGCAAAATTTCGTTGCGCATAAATTTTTCGCAGTTTTCCCGAGAGCGCGTGAGAGAACAGAGGTGAGAGTCTCCGCGCATGAAAAGAACGAGTATACGCGAATGTATGCGCGTGTGTATGTGCGAAAGATTGAACGGATAATGGAAAGAGGGTGATGAGGTAGGGGGGAAATTGGGGGGGGGAAGAGAACTTGTCGTGTTCGGCGTCGAATGAGGGAAGGCTCTGTACGTAGCAATTATAGAAACCATGTCTGTGATTATACTAAGAATAGAGAAAGAGAGACAATATAAGCAATCTCCGTATGTAACGACCTAAACACGAGCGGTGTGTGCGCTTACTATAGATACCGGTATGTAAATGGTACATGTATGTATTACGTGTTGTAAGAATTTCTGTTCGCGAACGCGTTTTGCGCTTTTAATCGAGGCTCAAAATTCACGTAGCCTTTCGATACAATTGTCGACGATATTGTTTCTCTCTTTGTATTTACGTATCCAAAGTGGAAAGTTTCATCGCGAGTAAAAGACGTCGATTCGTCATCAAAGCTGACGACGAATAGGGCAATTTGAATATCTCTGAATATCTCGATCGACGACTCGTTTCAAATCGCTCGACGCGTCTGCGAACAGTAAAAGGACAACCGAATAACAAGTCGCTCTCGCTTCATCTATAATGACTCGTCAGCGCTTCGTCACTGACGTCATGTGTGATTGGCCAAAGTAATCCAACACTCCCTTATATACATATACATGCATACTATCGTCGCGTGTATTCATTAGTAGGCGGATCAAACGATCGATCGAGAAAAAGCTTTCGTTATTTTGAGCCGTTGCACGTGACGTCAGAACCGGGGAAGGGCTCTTCTTCTGTACGTGATATCGGCGAGAGGTGGATCAGAAAGAGATATTGTTTCCTTCATTTTTACGTATCGAGGAGCAAACGCACGACCCGATCGTCCGTATTTTATCTAGAAGCACCAACGATCTCCCATATATATCTGTCGAAAGTAGTGCGGGATGAGGCCGGAGAGAAAGTGCGAGAGATCTCGCCGCGTCGTCCTTCGACTCGATTATTTTGCCGACAAGATACGTTCCTTTCCCTTTGTTTTCGATTTCCGTTTCGGAAAATGCAATCGCGGGGATCGAAAAGGGCGCGCTCGTTTGCGAGATTCTATTGTTTACCTATTCTCACATAAATACACGTATAAAGCTACATATAAATATCGATACAAATGCTGAGAAAGAATGAGAGAGAAAGAGAATGCGGTGAAGCAAAAAGTGAGAGAGAGAGAGAGAGTGAGAGAGAGGGAGAAGGAGCGAAAGAAGAGAATGCGAGCATTTATTTCGCGCGAATAAATTGTAATTACTAAATATATATGCGCATATATTATATATACATAATTATATACATATATATATCTTGTAATTATATATATATATATATATATATATAATGCATATATACATATATATACATATATCTATATATATTATATATATGACATATTTATATATATATATATATATATATATTATATATGTATACATATATATATATATATATATAAATCTTCAGGAGGAATTTGTACAAACCCGCTGGAATAAGGCACCAGCAAGTCTGTGATTTTAGCTTGGTTACTAATTCAGTATTTTTTTAAATAAAACGAGATAAAATCAAGATAAATCATAAAAAAAGAAGTATGATTCGGTCCGCGAGAGAAGGGAGGAGAAAGTTTACGAAAGAGAGAAAGCGTGTGTGTGCATGTGCCAGACCGAAAGGTAGCGCGTATGTGTAAAAAAAAAGAGTGAAGAGATGGAGGCAGGGGGGAAGGGAAATCTCTCTTGGAAGCTCGCAATAAGATGCTACTTGCTTGAATGAGTTTGGAAAAAAAATCTGCCCAAATATCGTTTTAATCTTTTTTAAGAAAAATGTGCAATCGTCGAGATTATAATTACTCATATTGCAATGGTGTCACGAGTGACGCGACAACGTGCTTGAACGAATGAAAAGAGCGTGACGTTGAAACTCGCGATAAAAAGGATACTCTCTATCGTTTGGGGCTATAGTGTTAATATCAATCGCGCCCAACCATTTTTTTTTCGTTTCTATTGTATCCACGCTAATGCAATATAAAAGAAGAATCGAGTTAAATTACGAAACCGATTGTCGTTGATAAAAATCAGCTTTTATTCCAACAACGAATATATTATTGTATCCCGATTCAAAATGTATCTCGTTTTTATCGTTGTTACGAAATTATCTCCGTTTTGCGTCAACCATAAGTTTGTATCGTTGAATTTAGTCGCTATGATTCATTTCGATCGATTGTATATCGGTCCTGCCGATGATCCAAAGTCCGTCTCGGGAAACAACTCATCGTGTCACGCTCCAATATCGAATCATCGCGCTAGCGCGTTGCCGCATATCGATCGAGTCTTTGTCGCGTTTGCTGATTTTTCTTCCTCCTTGGCCAAACGGCGCGTAGAGAAAGAAACGGAACTCGAGGGCCGGCTCTTCGTCGAGTGCTTTCCCTTTCTTTGGAGAAATCGGTTTTCGTTTTTTTATGGATACTAGAAATGAGAGAGGGAGATGGAAGAGCGATGAATTTTCGGTGAAGTAACATTGCTGGTACAGCGGGGGTTTGAGGTATTGGAATCACGTAAAAAGATGTAAAGATGAGAGAGAGAGAGAGAGAGAGAGAGAGAGCAGCGCGAAAGAGAGAAAACGTGAGAGAGAGAGAGAGAGAGAGAGAGAAAGAGAAAGAGAGAGTGTGTATGTGTGCCTAGTTCGACAGGGGTGCTCGATTCGATTCAGGTGGGCTTCTAGCCTATCGTTATAATTGCGATGACGAATTACTCGTACGAATCGATTAGCGAACTCGTTTAGCGATTTCGTTTAGCGCACGTTTGGTTTTACAATAGTAAGAGACGAGGATTGAGACATTAATTACAATAGTAGGAGACGAGGATTGAGATATCGAGCGAGATCCGTGGTCTTGCGAGATCCGAATTCGGCAGCCCTGTCGGCCGATAGCGCACTATTCGAAGAAAACGAAAGGAGAGCGCGAATACATATACATATATATAAAAAAGATCCCACTCATTTCCGCGCGTTGACTGCGAGCGAAACGCCACTCGATGAATTCTGTATAAAATTCGCTTTAAACAAGTCTACACGCATGTCCACGAGTATTATACATACATATATACATACATATATACATACATATATACATACATATACACATACATATATACATACATATACACATACATATATACAGACACACACACACATACATTCGATACACACGTATACACGAATCGCGGATACGCGACACTCGACATACACATACTCGAATCTGTAGACTCGTAGATTTACTATTAATTATAATGAATTATAATTATTATATCTATTATATCAATGTATAATTATATATTTAGTTTTTAGGTTATACGATGGCTATTATTTCCCGCTTGTACATATGCCGTGAACTCCAGAAGAAATTAAATCTTTAACAAAGAGAAAATCTATAATTTTTTCGACTGTTTTTGTACAGAGATAATAAAAACAAAGGGCCTCGTGCTTATGAAATTTCATGAATATAAAAAAAGACACGTGTGTCGATCACTTTCGCCCGTCATTATCCCAATTATCACCTTACCTTACCAAGCGCGCATCGTTTTTCAATATTTACGATAACGTAGAAACGCGAGAGGTTTACATCATCTTTTGTGCATCGGCATAATTGGTCGGAAATATGCGTAGTTTTTGCGAACAAGTGAAAATTTTAACGTTTCTAAATTTCACGCATCCACGAGTACGTGACACGATGCAATAAACTTTAAAAATATGCGTCAATATTTAACAACAAAGTAACGTCATTTGCTAGAAAGAGAGAGAGAGAGAGAGAGAGAGAGCATAGTGATAAAGTTCCTCGAATTATTCAATATACATTAGCGCGTCGTATCTTTGTTTGCCAAATAAATTTCGATAAAAATTACGATTCTGCGAAGGACGTTTATTTAAAGAGGCCGAATAACGATGATTTATCCTCAATTACGATAGAGCGATTCACGTCGCACAATTGCGCTTTTGCGAAAAACACTTGCGGAGCGATAAATAGCACGCATTTTTTCTCTTACGCATGTGGGCGAACGCGAATTTAAGCGAGTGATATACTTTTTGCATTCTCGAAATTCTCTCATACAGTTATTCTTGGAAATAGCACGATCGAGATAATTCGAGAAAACGCATATAGGCTGAAAATTCCGTATGCGACACTTGTCTGAAATGTTTATATATATAGATATTACGTGGTGCGTTTCCGAGAACGTGACTCATTAGCGATTAAGAGTTTTTCAAATTACTCCTCATTGTTGATTTATTTAACGAATGGATGGAAAAATAATTATAACGCAGCGAAACTTTAATTTATTTAATCATTTATCAAGAAGAGTATTATTTCTTAACGATTGTCTAATAATTAACGGCAGGGAATTAATCTGTAATTATTCGTTCGATCAAATGAATGGAATGATTGTCTCGTTAATTCACGTCACGTGGCTATTTCGCTTTGAAGATTCATGCAATTTTTATTATTCGAGCTCCTCGAAAGATACCAGAAGAATAATTGTCGAAATTACAAATGGAAGACAACAATTGTATAATTTTCAATCTTGATTATACAAATGGGATTTTTCCAATGGAAACTGTAGGAAAGGAACAAGATAATTTTATACGTTTATTTAAAATTGTATCGCGACTTTATCAATATCGTTGTTTCTTACATTTCTCCTCAGCTTTACTTGCAACTTGACGCTTAATTACATAGTTGATGCGTTGAGTCAACATTTCGTACATGTTTCGCGAGAGTTTTGCTCAGTCGAGATGAAACGAAAACTAGTTTTAATTGCTACCCTTCTCGTCTCGTCGGACGGTTAATCGTCGACAATCTAATCGAGTCGACAGACCGGGATATTGAAATCTGTTGCGT